CCCCAAAGTTATGCCCTAATCTTATAGTAATGTTTCCTCTACACTATTGTTGATATTTAAGTGGGGGAAAGAAATAAAATTTTTACTTGATCTATTTGGAGCAATTAAAATGTAAAAATATTAGACATGTGAGATGTGCAGCATACAAATGTGAACATTAAAGATTCCAATTGTGTTTTCTTGCATGAACTTCAGTAGAAAACTATAAATTGGTATTTTCTTTCGCTGATGGGAGAAAAAAATTGGACTAATTTGGTGTCCTGGCAGTTTTTTCGGGACAACTGGAATCTACTTGGAAAACTGGACAAGTCTACTTTTGTGAGAAGTAAGATATTCGTTTGGTTAAATCAGACTCTTTTCTCAGAAGCATTATACCTGATACAAAAATGTTTTATTTTATCAGAATAAAAATAAAATACAAAACATTGTAAAACAGGTAAAAAAATCAGTCAGATATAAACTCTTAGAAGTACAAATATAAAAACCATTCTCACACCTTTCAAAATAACAAAGAATACTTGCAGAAAGATCTGTACATATCTTCTGTGAAGATGAATGCATTAATTTACAACAGTTTCATATCAAGGCATTACTATAAATACAGTGGAATGTATGAACAATTGAGCAAATGCAGCGAGATTAAGGCACAAGGCATTGAGTATTAACATTGAACTGAAACTATAAATTTCAGTAACTGTAGCAACAGTAGATACTTCTTATGTACTGAAGTTGAACTACAATAAGTAGCAAACAGAAACGAGTATTCATATTTTACAGTATAAACAAAGGAAAAATAAATAGTTTTAAAGGTGAAGCCTCATTATAGGATACAGTATTTCTGGTTACAAAATTTTTTTCCCCAAGGGCAATGCATTTTCAACCTTCATGTAGTCAGTTTTTTTTTTTTTTTTAAACCCCGCATTTACTAGCATATAAGACACACCTTTCTTCCTTCATTAATTCGTTAAAAAAACAGGATGCGTCTTACACAACGGGTGGAATTTTTGAAACTGTTTGAATAGAATTACAAAAATCAAATTTTTGTACACTGAAAAACAGGAATTTGTATTTCTACAAACACTGATTATTACGCAAGCTACAAGTATTGCAGGGAGAAAGAAAACTGAAACGTTCATTGGGTCGTCATTGCATAGAAGATTTCTTAAAAGGCATAATCTTTCCATACATATTAGGAAAAAACAACATAAAGACTCATGGTGAAATACGAAGAAAAGATTAATACTTTTCACAGGCTGTAATTCCTATTCCTTTCATAAAAATAATGTAAAAAATTTAACATTAAGGAATGAAATCCTTCTTGAAAAAATGGGTACGTCTTACACACTGGCAAATATGGTAACCTTTCATCACTTTTATACAGAATTTTTTAAATCCATAATTTCACATTAGATTCTCTCCGACACAGATTTTCAAAGTTAAATATGATTTTTTTCTTTTAGTAACAAAATCTTTACCTGAGAATAAATTGTGGAAAGTACTTTAACTTACTCATTAACAAAACATAGTTAACATACTTTATTAACACAAGAAAGTATTTAAAAACAGAACCTACGGTCTATATCTTTGCAACAAAAAAAAGGGGGGGGGGGGTCAAGATTCAGATTCATGTTGTATCTGAATTTAGAGGTTAAAATTTGTTCTAAATAACATTTTTTTTATAACGCTCCTTGTCTTTTGCAAGAGATATTGGAAAACAAGCGGCACTTCATTGCTGTGAAAAAAATGTTTCGTCCTCCACATTCGATGAAACTGGGAATTACAATTGGAAACTAATCTTGTACATTAATGGCTGTTTCATAAACAAGACGATACTAGAGTGGAATAGAAAAGCCATGACGCAAAGAGGCCTTTGAAAAGCACACCTTTTGGATACAATCCAACAGCACCAGTGATGAACAACGAAGGTAAATTGGTCATACTCAACAGCAGCTCGTTAGGAGACTTACTGACAATGGACTAATGTTTTCATTTTCTGAGAAAGTGATACACAAGAGCCACGTGTAATAAATAGCAAAATGAAAAAAATACAATGACATGTAGCAGATTGAGGCCACAATGAGCAGCATAAGCAACATGTAGCAGATTGAGGGATGGAGGTAGTGGATGCAAAAATATATTTCTCCAGAGTTCCTGTAATATACTGTTTGCATCTCTTTTCATGCTCTGTTAGTTCCTTTTTTCACTTTGGGTCAAGTACATCATATTTTTAAAATTTGTACTTTCTGCTATTGAAATTTTCTAATTGCATAAAAGGTAAAAAATGTTGCCCCCACAGGATTACACAGAATTGTGCATTAAATCATTTGCTATGCAAAATTGAAAGGAAAAGTAAATACAAAAAGCTACCCAACATAAAAGTAAACTACTTAATCATTTAGAAGGGTAAGTAAAAAATATTAGTCTGTCAGTGACAAACACTATGCATATCATCCACTGTACCATCTAAAGCTTAATCTAGCAAAACAGCTAAATTATACTTTCATAAATGCAATTCTAGTAACAGAATAATACCACTATTATAGTTCACTTCATGTACAGTACATTCAGGTAGAATCAGGGGAAGACCAGATCAATTTGTATTAAATTGTAAATAGTACAAAAACACTGGTAACAAATGAATGTACAAATATACTATTTCCAGTAAATTTCAGTAAATCCTTTACACAACAGGTCCCTATATATACAATACCACTATTACAAATAACATTCATAACCTGTCAACTGGTGTTAGCCATCAAAGCAATATTTAGTTATAAACACTCCACAAGTTATAACCATTCCAGATGGTAATCACAGAAACAATTATCAGATGTGAAAATTCTATCACATCTATGCTACAACTATTTATTTGTACAACTGTAATGAATTATAAACTGCTAGAGGCTCGTCATTGCAGGAGGTCGAGCATAAGCTTTAGGAATAAAGCCATATTTGCGAGTTTTGGGAGCATATGCCCAGAGCCATCCATCGACAGTTTGATTATTGAGATCTGCATAAATCCAATCTCCTCGTCTTACAGACAAATCATCAGGAGCTTGAGCCTAAAATGAAAAGAGAATTTAATAGCATAAAAATTGAGCACTTGAAGGAGAAAGAAGAAAAAAAAAAAAAAAAAAGTGTACTCACTTTATAATCGTATAACATCACTAATTCTGTTCCATGATATCGTAAGTCATCATTGGATGGTGACGTAAGTAGATGAGCATTACTAGGTGATGCAAAATTGTTATTAACATTCTGATTATTTGTTTGCGTTAAATGTCCTGTGAAAACATCAAATCAAATAATAAATACACAATCAATTAACTTAAATATTGTGTGGAATAATTTAATGTCAGCATCAGAAAAACATACCCTGAATAACGTTGGCAGGGTACACAAAACCACTTGGCACAAAACCTTCTTGTCCATCACTTCTAACTATCCAATACCAATCTGGATCTTCTCTGTTCAAAACAGTCACAAATTCGCCTCTTTCGACACTTACATCATTTTCATCACGAGCAATAAAGGTATATAAAACTATGTATCGACCAGAAGGATCCTAAAGAGAATGTAAGGAAGTTCATTAAACAACGCCAAATAGTTAAATAAATTGGAAACCTTCCATTAGCACAACTAGAGATGAAGGCCTCTAACGTGAATTAATAGTGATTAAATAATTCATACCGAGTATGATTTGCAAGTAAACTGTCAAGTAATTTTCTTGTGGGTACACCATTCACAAACACTTAGAACACTGAGTGTCTGTAATGCCTAAATGTTCATTAGCAGGAGTTACAAAAATTGTTCCAGAACAGAATAACAAGATATTTTAAGTTAAGTATAAACCTCATGTGGGCACAATATATCTGAGATATATGATTAAGGGAGATTAAGTGAATATTTTCAAAACAATGAATGAATGATGAAAAATGTACATTAATTGACTTATCTAATACTTTCAAGCATTATTGGCTTCGCAATATTTTGTAGACTTGCTGGAGTCGTGAATACAACACTGACTGCAAATGTGTTGTAGAGACATCTAAAAGGTTCTAATCTTTTTAATAGACCCTTTACGATAATGAATATGTAACTATAACTATATCTTTACATACACCTACCTTACACAATATGATACAATGTATATCTTAGAAACATTGAATCTGGCAATGTTGATAGGAAGTACTTCTTATACACAGAACATATAAATAAGTATTCCATCTGACAGAGAATTAACCTTAAATATTGCTTCTATACAAAAAAGATTGACTGATTAATTATTTCATGTTTCTGGATATATCAACAGCAATTGTCATTAGTCCCATGTTTTTCTCTCAGGTAGAGACAATGATCTTCTCCCTCTGGATGGGGAGATCCAGTGCCGGCCTTCATGTCAGCTAGCAGGGGTGTTCCCAAACAAGGCACGTCCCACCAGCAGGGCACTGCCCCAGCATTAAGATCCTAATTGGTCTCCTAACATGTATGACAGTGTAATGCAAGTGAGTAAGGGAAGAGGATAGGACAATGAAGAGCAAGGAAAGATTGTGTGTGGTCTGTGGCTCATTTGTTAGGGTACTACTCCAGCATTTGCCTGATGTCAATTGAGGAAACCCTGGAAAACTACCTACAAGAGCAGCCGGATCCTATAAAACTTCTCCAGGCAACGACTGAATTCAACCTAGCTATCTAGCTTGTGTTAAAAATCCTGCTCCCATCAGAACTCAATCCCTAGGACCACCCAGTCAGAGGAACTGACCTCCGTTGATGCCCAGAGCCATACAAGCCGGCACAAAAAAATAAAATATGCACCTTGAAGAACGGGTGAACATCTGGCTGAGAAGATGAAACACTATGAAGTGATGCTTGAGAACTTGTAATATTTAACTGCTGAGTTGCAGCAGTTGATTTTTTATTTCCATAACTTTCACAGTCTGAAACATCTCCACCTAAAAAAAGTGATTGACATGGTCTGAAAATATTTTCTTGAAAGTAAAACAAATATAATTTAATGTTAAACATGTGAAAGGAAATTCTTTAATAATAAAAAGTAACTTTATGCACCTCCTGTTCTGCTATCTTGTGCATCCGATTCTCCAACGCCAGCTTCTCCACCACTTAAACCTGAGGAAGTAATTGCAGCAGCTACAGTAGTGGTAGTTGTACTTGCAGTTGCTGGAATAACTGGCAAATTTGATGGTGTGCTGTTTCCATTACTTGAATTTCTCTGTTCGCGAGGCAATTTCTTTTTAACATTGCTTAGAGCTAGTTCTCCTAGATGTGAATTGTATGCTGTGCAGTAGGAATGTGGAATAAAACCTTCCTGCCTACTGTCAGCAGCTATCACATAAACCCAATCATTTTCACGATATAAGATGTTAACAACCTGAAATGCAATAAACTTATTACACGTTTGTTTTTTTACTTCCAAAGTACTCATACAGCCTGTCAACAATTGCAAGAAGTGACTGTTATGACACCAACATGTTTATTCTAGAACACAACTGAAAATTGTGTACAGGTAGGCTTCTCCAATCAGCACCAAAGAAATGTGTTTTAACAATCAATTTTATTCAGCTTCTTTTGCTATCTCTATTTCTGAATGAAGAATAATTTCATAGTATATGAACATCAGAAGTGACTTTAATTTTAAATTGAAACGTGATAATGTAATGTAAGATTTGTAATTTTTTTAACCCACCATTACCTGCTAAATCCATGAACCTTTGAAGTACAGAGTAACCAAAAAATAAAATTAACTTGAATAATATTAAATTTCTCAATATTAACTCCTTCATTACATCAAGTAATTGTGTCTAAATTCCAAAGAGGCAAGATTTTCAAATCAGACTTTTTCTTATCACCCAAGGTGCTGTAAATATCCTCGAAATCTTTTCTAATTAGTTGGTAGCATAACAATGTTTTTTTTAAACGGACACTACTAAAAGAGGCTTTTTCAGGGCAAGCCCAGTATGTTAAAAGTTCAATTTTTAGCACTAGTGCTAAAAGTGAGAAGATGCTCAAATGTTCTGATAAATATGTGAATGCATCAAAGAAAACAAAATACCGTCTGAAAGGCCAAAATAATCAAAAAGGACAGAAGAACATACAATCAATAAGGCTGTCTAAAAAGTAGTGTATGACACATGTGGTAAAAGTGATTATATTTTTCTTGCAGGATTGCATCACTCTGTCTGGTGTAACAATCATTCGTACACAAAAAAATAGGTCACTTTGAACACCTGTGACATAAATAACTATTATAAATGAAAGCTCATGTTTAAAACTTTGGAATGCCCACCTGTCCTCTTTTTACTTCTAATTCATCATCAACACAAGGTGTGAAGTCATGGAGTACAACCATTTTGCTATCTGGAGCCAAGCCATTTTCCTTTTCAATCCCAACACGTACTAAAGTTTCTATTGATGCACTTCCAGTAATTCTTCCCATTCCTGGAGCACGCACCAAATCTTTGTCCACATCGCCGGCACCTAAAATAATAATTTACCAATGCAACTCCATTTACCTTCAGTATTTACATTCATGGTATTAGAAAATGAGGTTCAGAAGTAGCAGTACTGAAAAAGGGAATGTTTGTCCTGTTGTGAATACATTTAGCAAACACATACATACAAACAGACAGAAGATGGAAACAAGCAATTCAAGTTGAAATTTTTAGGAACCTCATTACATTCTGTTTACTGACCATAATAAATCCTATTGTAATGTCTATATCCAAAAACTACTTTACTATCAGTATGATGAATTGGAATGTATAGTCAAAACACACAATCGCCTGAAGCACTTCCTGGTGCAATAAATTGTCAATGTTGATATGCAATAACAAACAAACAAACAAGTTGAATGAACACAAAGGGTCAATCAAGTTGTCTCTCTATTTAATTCATATTGAGATGACCCAGAAAATCAATTGTAAATAAAATCCCCAACATTCCTTGCATTTGCCAAAGTGGAAAAAAATTTAGCTAAGTTGCAAAATCTGAAATAACTCCCAGAATACACGTCAAGAACTATAAAAAAACACGCTTTCTCGCATTACTCAAATTTTTGCAATTACTGGAAATTCAGAGTTTGGTGAAAATGTTGTGCCATTCTTGTTCTCTCAATGGGAAAACAATTGTTTAAAAACTGCCTTGTGTGATGCAAAATTACACGAAAACAACTCATATTTGCCAAAAATTAAATTATATTGTACAAGACCTTATTTCAAAAGCTGTACTTGGTCAATAGATTTCATTAAGGAGAAAATATCTATCTTAAATACTGTCATTGTTGGATGACGGCGAAAAAAATTGAACTTTTTCAATATTCAAAAATTTAGAGGGTTCCACTAAAAATTAGACCAGAACCATTCTTTTAAACGTCCTTAACGCTATCCCAGTACAAAATACATTAAACAGAATTTGAGCATTTTTTTTTACAGAAAATTTTAAAAAGTTGTTGGGGCTACTTGTAACTTACACTTAAATCTCTAAATATCAGTTTCAAACCTTCATAGAGCCTCCAGTTCCTATAAATCGATCGTGAGAAATCGATTTAGAGAAAATCGACTGAACAGTTTTGGGGGTTTGCATTGAGCATAGATATCGCACGGACGGACGTCAATTGATTTTCCAGTATCAAGGACGCACAAAACTAGGATTCTGATTATACAATGTCTTAGAGAAAATAATTGACTACATAAAGGATTATGATTTATCTAATTTTTCGTTACCAGGATCCCGCAACGAATTTTTCCATAAAAAAAGCGCCGTTTTCGTGCGTACCCTTGCAATTCTATCTTATCAAGTAAAGCGAGAAAGAAAAAAGTATAGAAAAGCATACGCTAAACTAAATTCAGAGTTCAACGAAAATGAGACCGCGCCATTCCTTTAGGCGTTTGTCATTCAATCCGTGAACAAAATTTAGAGCGGTTTTTGAGTAAATGTTTATTATAAATTGCATTAATTTCAAGCATAAATTATGCAAGGTGCTCTCTATTTAATTCATATTGAGATGATCCACAAAATCAATTGTAAATAAAATCCCCAACATTCCTTGTAGTTGCCTAAGTGGAAAAAAATTAGCAAAGTTGCAAAATCTTGAAAAATTTGAACCTCACGTTCTTTAAAGAACTTAAATTTTTACAACAATCCTTATCTTCAACTATGCAATTTTCGAAAACACAGAGTGCGATGGAATTGACACTAAAACATCTTTCTGAACTGTTTTTTAAGATGTATGGGGAGAAAATTTAAAGAAAGCCATTTTTGAAAAACAAATCAATTAAAAATTGTCTATATTTCATGCAAATTTACAAACAAACTAACATTTTAAAAAACTTGGTCATGACCGAATTTCAAGATGTCTTTCAACAACGGATTTCATTAAGGATAAAAATCTCTATCAATATTGTAGTCATAGGAAGATACCGTAAACTATTTTAAACTTTTGCAATTTTCGAAAAATTAGGGGTATCGACGAAATAAGACATGCCCCATTCTTTCATGAGTCATTTATGCTACCCAACAAAAAAGTTTAAGAAAAAATCTGGAGCCATTTTTGACAAATTTTTTTTGAAAATGCTGTTGAGGCTTCACGTAAAGTGAGTGCGATCAAGTAAAGTGAGTGAGTAAATAGATAAATAAAATTATCCATTTCAAACTTGCAGTGTTTTGAATTTGTTCAGATTGAAGAGAACACTAGTGTTTCCATTATACACTACCACAGAATAACCAAGTGAATGGATGGAGCTTCTTGAAATGTCAAGAATGAAATCTGAGCCATTTATTGTTGTCAACACTGAAGAAAAAATGATTCAAAATTGGAAAGAGTTTTTAGAATGTAAGAAGGGCTTGCTTATGTTCTTATGCTCCCGTGTATGATACAGTCAAGTGAAGAAATCAATGCCATTTGTGCATTTCAGACCATCCAAGAAGTGTCTTTCACCAGTCAACATTCAATGGCAGATTTGAGGAAGCCACTCTCAGAAGAGAGAGAGATACAAATCTACAAAAAAGAGAGTTTTACTACCAAAGGCTTGACCTACTTCAAAGATCTTCAAATTTTGAAACAGTTATGTGGCCCAGAAGCTAGAGGATGTTTTGGAACCATGTTTAGAGTGCAGAAAAGGAAAATCAAGCAACTCCAAAAGAAGCATTCAGCAACAAATCAAAAATAAAAGTAATGAAACTTGCAAAATTAACTTCACTGAGTATATAAATTCTTTATTCTGCTTCTAAAGTATACAGATATTTTTCACTTATTGTTATAGGTCTCAGACATTAAGACATAAAAATCACACGTTCCTCCACTTTGATATCATGAACTGTTTAGAAGTTATGATTGTGGTTCAAAGTTAGTGAGAAGAATGTATATAGGAATACTGTACAAAATGTATAGAATTAAATTTGGTTAGTGAATTTTTGTGGGTTAATGTTGGTAAAACAAAATATATGATTATGGGGCAACACAGATTTAGGGAAGAAGTACAATTAAGACAATCAATAGTTCTTTTGGGTGCGAATCTGGACTGGGTGAGGAACATTGCGAGAGATTATAAACTCTCTTCTAAATTTTAAAGATCATACGGAATACAATATATTAATAACAAAATAGCCAAAAATTCCTTTCTAGGATGTAATGTTAGCATATGCCATTATTTTATTCAAGTAAAATTGTTTGGTGAATACTAATTCTTCCATGCTTAATTTGTGCCCCAAGAAATAAACTATCATCCATATTGGTTGCTTTTCTTGAAAAATTCTACAAACATTTTGAGGAATGAATGATCCAGTGTACATATTGCTGATCTTACAATTGGAGAGTGAAGGTGAGAGGTTAAGGATTATGCAGATACTTTCAATGAACCTATCTAAATCATGAAGAAATTCCAAATAAAAAGCATTCTTGGAGATAAATACAAAACATCATCTTGCACAAATATTTAAATATTGTACTCTCATTCTACAACCTTCTCTAAAATCTTAAAAGGGGGGATCTCAATTCTTAGCATGTTTGATTTTGAATATTATTAAATAGAACTAAATCAAAGATAATGCTATATACTAATATTTAACTATGTCAAAAGTATATGAGTGTACAAATAATGTCAAAAAAACAGCTTGGCGAATCACAGCATAAAAATCCATTTACAATAATTAAACACCAATAAAGAGCACACACAGGCCATTCAAGATGAGGTACACAATAATTAAAATCACAATAAACTATAACATTAACTACTTACTGACTCATTTACCAAAAACTGTAAATTTAGCACCTCTACTTAACCCCTAGTGCTACAGAGAACAGAAGAGCATGACAAACATGGAAAGTCAGGGAACAATGATAATCGTAAGAATTAAAGAAATATGAGAACACACAGTTGACTCGACACGATCTGTTTTCGGCACAGTTAACGTCTGATCACTTCCACACTTAACAATTCCCCAACCAAAAAAACAACAAAAACTGATGAACAACACTAAAACCTGAACATTTCTTCGCTCTCATTAAATTCACGGTTCACAAAAATTCAGTAAATTAAAGATAAACATTTCTTACTTTTCTTCTTCTTTCCTCTTCGTATACGTACGGGACAAAGAAAAGCCATAACGAAAATTCATTATTTACACTCACTTTCGGCCATTACCCTTCTAAAAGATCGCGAAATCGATATCCTCATTACCTATCGAAAGTAATGGTGATCGATCTACAAGTACTACACAATCGACATTCGGACATTTTCTTATTGGTTCAGATTGAAACAATACGGACCAATAGAAAACACCACAGAACTTCCAAGTTTAAATGGCGCGTACATCCTCGATGTGCAGCATGTGCGATTCTGTTAATCGAGTCTGTTGAAATCTCTGAAATAGAAGAACCATAATTTGATGGTGTGTAATATCTCATAATATGAAAGAACAACATTTATTTTGCAAGATGGATAAACAATCAAAACCATTCAGAAACATCGCTAATGTTTTGGGGAGAACGGGCGTAGCAAAGCGACTTGGGAAGACCGAAGATGCAGTATCCGCATGCCCGCCCGAAATTCAAAAATTTGAAAAAGGAACTTCCGTCACATTGTGCCCACATTTGGAGAACGAAGGGCCTTCTATAGATGTCTTACCTACGAAAGTCGGTAGTGTTGGCGCAGGAAATGATTTTGAAAACTTCGGTCATTCACAAATGTATCGTCCCAAAAACGAAGATAGAGTACTTATTGGCGTTGGCAGGCCGCATGACGTGACTTTGCCTAATGTGACATCGGATGTGCAAGGGTTAACGGCACAAGATTTTGCTCAAAATATTGGAACTGTTAATAAATTTGAAGAATCGAATAATATCAAATGTGAAGAAGGTTCGTCACTAGCATTAACAGTGAACATAGCATCTGTTGAAACTAAGAAAGATGCCAAAAGTACTGTCAATTGTGTTTATGATATTGACAAAATAAACTTTAACTGTGATTCGCCAACGCCCCTGACGGTGCTTGGACTGGATGATGTCATGCCAGCTAGTCAGGGAATTTCTGGGAAATTTTCATTAGATATCTGTGTTTCCGAGAAAGAACCTTTGCCGGAGCAATTGGGAGCTGATTCCTCTCTGAAAAATTTTAAAATGGAAGCAGGTTTTTGTGAAAATTTATTTCTGCAAGATGTGGAAGCCAATGAAAATAAGCCAATAAATGGCTGTCTCAAAATTTTAACTTCAGATGAAGATAGAATTCTAAATAATGTAGAATATTCCAATGAATGTATTATAGATGAAGGTGTTCTTCATTCAAACCTTCACACTAAAGTTCAATCACTAATAACTGTAGTTGAAGTTGGTGACAGTTCTAATTCTAGAACAACAGGAATGCATTTGAAAACTCAGAAAATTTCTTATGATTCACCCCCAGATGAGAATGAAAGAACTAATTATGATGTCCCATGCCCATCGACAGTATCTGATATTGGAAATGAATTACTAGCTCCGAATTGTCCTGAACAGAAAACTGCGGAATGTGATAGAAGAGCAGAAATTAAAAATGAGATTCTGTCAGAATGTGAAGCAGAAATAACCTCTTTGAAGACTCAGTGTGAATTTTCTGATGAACAAAATTTCAGATCCAAAGCCCAGGAACTTACTGATTTCCCAAATGACAAGAATGCTGTAACACATTCTAATGTGTCATGCCCATCAACTGTATCTGATTTTGGAAATGACTTATCAGCTATGAATTGTCCTGAACAGAAAACTGTGGAATGTGATAGACAAGCAGATATTAAAAATGAGATTTTGGCAGAAATTACCTCCTCGAAGACTCAATGTGAATTATCTGATGAACAAAATTTTAATACGGAGGAAAAAAAGGACAGTGTTTTATTTTCAAAGACTGATTGTTTAGAAGATATAAATCAGATAAAATTTACTGATTTGGGAACCTTGGTTTTAGAGAATGTCAGAAGTCATGATACAACCATTAATGAAGCTAAAAACAATGAGAAATTCAAATCATTTCTAAGTGAAAGAGATAACCTATCTCCTTGGGAATGGAAAAGACTAGATAAATCTTCAACTCCTTGTCATGTATTCTCCAAAATTATACAAGATGATGAGGGCCCTAAAGCTTGTCAAATATTGTCAACACCTAAAGCCAAAAGAAATGTCAATATTGATACCACAAAAGGGAAGAAAATTGACTTTACTGAAATTGGTGAAGTCCAAAATAAATATTACTTTGTGGAAAATATAGAGAATCAATTGGAAAATGCAACAGCTTATAATAAAACTGAAAATGTTAAAACAGTACTAAATATTAAACAAGAACAAGGAAATCCTCTAAAGCTTTCTGAAAATGTTTCAGATAATAAATCAGTGCAAATGAAGGGACCAGCAAGCCCAGAATCACAAGGAATTAAAAAGGCCAAATTTTATTCAAATGAATGTACAATTATTGATGTTATTGATGTTGAGGCTGAGAATGAAGTTCAAATACAGATGAAAGTTGATCAAAATCCTCTAAAGGTTTCTGAAAATGTTTCAGATAATAAATCAATGCAAATGAAGAGACCAGCAAGCCCAGATTCACAAGGAATCAAAAAGGCCAAATTTTATTCAAATGAATGTACAATTATTGATGTTATTGATGTTGAGGCTGAGAACGAAGTTCAACTACAGATGAAAGTTGACCAAAATCCTCTAAAGGTTTCTGAAACATTGTTAGATGCAAGTCAATCAGTGCAAATGAAGAGGCCAGAATCTCAAGGAATTAAAGAGGCCAAATTTTATTCAAATAAAAGTACAATTATTGATGTTGAGGCTCAGAATGAAGTTCAAAAACAGATAAAAGTTGGCAAAATAACAAAAAATGCGAAATTTACAAACACCAATTTTGTAAGTAAAGATCCACAAGAAAATGAAGACAATAACAATCCGGAGTGGGAGGTATTAAAGAAATTGGAAACTGATGATGAACGTTACAAAGCTGTTAGGAAAAGATGGAGAAATTTAGTGATTCCTGACCCTAATAAAAATTTAACATGCATTCATAAGAAATCGTCTTTTAAACATCCAAATTTATGCACACGTGGAGGTGACAAAGTAAGTGATGAAAATGCTAAACGAAAAAGAACACATTCTCATGAACCAACAACATCAACTGATCATGTGCCTGTGAAACGTGCTCGAACTCGTTCTTGTACAACTTCTTATGAATTAAAAGTGAAAGATTGTTACAAAAGAATGGAGGAAGAGTCAAGAAAGCTAAGTGAAGAAAAGAGGCATGCTCTTGCTAATACCAGCAATTATTACTACAGGCAGTATTCAAATCTTATGGCCAGCAATTTGAGATATTATAACAGCTGGGAGTTTCAAATCAGAATTGCGGCCTTGTCTGCTGAAGAAAAGAGGGTAATTAATTCTTTTATTGTGTATGATTGTCTATTACATTATAAATATTTTGTTTGGTATCAGGATGGTCTGTTAGTTAAATTTTTTCTTGCAACCAGTTAGTCTGGAAGTTAATTTTTTTCTTGTCAAAAGTATACAATACAAAGAAGGAAATGATGCAGAGATGAACATTTTAGAAATTTACATAACCCAACATGTTTCATGTGTTTGGGAATATATTTCTGGCTATTTTTGTTTCAGTGTGCTTGAAGTAGAGTAGGATTCATAGTTCATAATAGAAGGCATTTTAAGTTTCTGAATTACAAATTTTCCTTTCATACTTTTTCATGTTTTAAAAATTACCTTACAGAACTTATTTTTAAATACAACTGTCAATAGCCAAAGTGTATTGTCAGTAGACAATAACTTAAATATACTTACAGTCCATTTTTCCTTCCTGTGTTTATTAATTATATTATCTTCAAGATATATAACTTGATTCTTTATTCAACTATTGCCCATCCCCCATTAAATAGAGAGATTCCTGTAGAATTGTGACAATGTGGACACTGGTGGGCTTTTGGGCTACAGCACTATCAGAAGTAATGTAAATAATTGTTTAATTAATTTTTAATTAATTGCTCAATAAATGATGAGTTTTTGTTGATAAATGTTATTAATGATAGTCTGAAGTACAAGTATTAATGCTTTATTTTCCGCAACATTAAAAGCTTTATTAATATAAAAGGAGAAATTGTACATTTGACTTTGAACAAGAAAATGAATCTTATCAAAATCCCCTCTAAATTGAATATGCTAAGGAAACATGACAGTTTTGTACCATTTAGAAGGAAACATCAACATCAATTTCCATAAGTGTGCTACTGTTGGGTAAGGATAATTATCCTCAGTCTGATCCAAACTGATGTAAGGTTCAAGTAATAAAGTTTGCAAATTATAATGAAGGGAGATCAGCAGGTGGACATGCAACCCACAAGTCATATTACACTGCAACACATATGACGTGCGTCACTTGGAAACAAAGGAGTTGGATTAAGTTTTCATGACGGAAAGAGTTCCATAATATTTTGTAAATAGTATCCTACAAAATTGTTCTTTTTAAACCATCTATTGGATATTTAGCATGTCTGTTTACTGAAACACTATAGATGGGTGGTCGGGAGGAATGAAGGGTTGAAGGAATGGATACCAAAATAATATTTCGAGTTAAAGTTAAAATGACGACAGTGAACCCTCATGAAATGAACAAAATTTTAGTCTTGCCAAAGAAATGTTGTAATGAGGTTATATAAAAAAATCAGATAACACAATCTTTTGTATCAAGAACACTGATTATTTCAATCCCTCGGAACTTGTGTTAACGAGAGTTTACTGTATTTGATTTTGTGTGCAATTCATCTCAATGCTAAACTTAATTACAATGCTGATATGTGGGCTTGTTCTTAGTTTATAGTGCTGTAGGGCACAGTTCAAGGGCTGGCTCTTAGAAGTTGGTTTCATTATGAAACTATTTTCACTTTTAAAACAATGATATACAAAGTGTAGAATGATGACACGAGTCCAGCTACTAGTTGTTAATAAGAGTTGTAAGCAAACATTCCTATAATTTTTTGTAGCATAGGCTAATTTTTAGGATTTGGAACTTCGATCAGAGGGAAAAGCTACTCAGGAGGAATTGTCCCATTAGAAATTAATTAGCTAAAAACGCTTACCATTATCTTGTAAGAATTTACCTATTCTCATTTAGAGTTAATGTACATAAACACAGCTTGAAAAAAAATATTTAAATTTTCATAGTTTTCTTCTTGGAGGCCTAATCATTTGAAATTGATCAAATTATTAAATTCAATTTCGTTAAAAGATTTTCATTGCAAAATATATTTTCAGGCAGAAGAAGCTGTACACCAAGACTATTCTGGTGCATTTGACAGACTTGAAAATAAAAAACGACAACAAGCTTTGGTATTTGAAAAAGCAATGAAAGAAGTTGAAGCATTCCATAAATTTTATAGGAAACTGGAAGATTCTTCCAAAAACGATTGCTTTTTCTTGACGGATGTTGAACTAGATGATGTGAAGGCTACCGATGAGTTATATGAAAGATTTAATACTTTTTATTCTTGATTTGTACCTAAAATATTCTTAAGACTGATTTTATGTCTCAGGAAGGAAGTGACCTGATCTTACAATCCTTATTTGTTAGTCATATTATGTGATATCTAATCATGTTTTTATATTGTATTTTAAGAGTATTTTTCTTTCTAGTATTTTAACATGGCCGTTTTTTAAAATAAACTTTCTGAAGTGTCATTGTCAGTAGTTGACAGTTGCACAACTTATAATCTTTAAGTTAGATCCCATGTTCTTTTCAGTAGATTATGTTTCTTTAAATATGTATGTTTTTTCCTTAGATACATTTTATTATTTTTTTTCCCCTCATGTATTTAGAGTCTTTTCTACACATGCTATTTATAAGATATCAGTTTGTTTGAAACAATGAGAATGGTGCTCTTATGTATTTATTATTATTATTATTATTATTATTATTTTTTTTTTTTTTACATACTATGATACAAATCTTTTGTAACTTCAAACCTAGGTTCACATAAATGTTGATCTATCATGCCAAAGTTATTGATTGTGAAAGATTTTTGCATACAAATATATTGAAAATAAAAAGTTCTGTGTTCCATAATTGTATTTATTGATTATCAGAAAAAACATTTACTTTTACATTCTTCTGTATTATTCTTCATATGTGTGCTCAGCCTAAAGCTAAAGGGGAAGGCGACTGTTTCCGATCCTCCTTTCTATTGAACATTTTATTTGTAAATGAATGAAACTTGGAAGGAGAATGAAATTATAACTAATAATACAAGTAACTATTGCAAATATTTATAGTTGATATCATGTGTAACTATTTATAAGGCTGCCAGATGCCTTGGAGAGTCTCTTTCCCAAACTTAACAATTTTCCAAATTGTCATATTAAAAAACGGGGAAATTAAGGAATGAATACATTTAGGGAAATAAAATGTTTTACTACATTTTATAATGGGGAAAAGACCTCTTCATGTTGTATTCCTGGCTGCAAATCAAAGTATAGCATTCATCTGCTTCCAATGAACTGAATAGAAAAGGCTAACAAACAAGTGTTTAAGAAATAATACCACGTCAATTTCAAAGTTTTTGAGATATAATTTACGTTCTGCAACTTGTATAAAGTTTGTGGTTTGGATACACGTTTCCTGTTTTAAATGGAGAACCGATTCAAACCAACGTCACGTGATTTTGAAAAACATTAATTTTTGGGGGTACTTTAAATGACGCTTCCGCGACTTTTTCAAAATTTTCTTAAAATGGCTCCAATTATTACTTTCTTGTTACCGCGGTAGAGAGAAAGTTATGTAATGCTCTGCGGAAAAACGGCGAATTTTCGGCAGGAAAACTATTACAAGGCCTTGGTAACGAAAAAGTGGATAAATAAGATTCCTAAATTTAAAAATCCAGTAACACGTGGTGTATCCAGAATCCATGTTTATGCGCCATTGATACCGAAAAATTGAATGACGGCAAAACGCCAGTGAGTCTGTCTCTGAACAACGCTACCAGCTAAACTGTTTTTCCGATTTTCCGCATAATAAGCCGATTTTCTTCATAATTGATATTCCCAGATTGATCTGGCAAATGCCTTGGCCCTTTGAATTTGAAACCAATTTTAATTTTGGGAGGTATTGTACATAAAGCCTCTGGGATACTTTCAAAATTAAGACTTCGTTTTGATGAAATGATGTTGGTGGATAGTCTGAAGGACGTTTAAAAGAATGATGCAGGTCTCTTGATTAAAACCCTGATTTTTCGAAAGTTGCAAAAAAAAAAAAAAAAAAAAAAAAATTCGGTGGTCTTCCTATAATTACAATTATGAAGACACATTTGTTACTTTCCCGTATACGCACTATATACGGAGTAATGTACGTAATAATAGGAAAGGTGGAAAGCGGAAAATCGATTTCGATGGAAATACACATTTTGGGGTCCCCTGATACCGAAAAAGTGTTTGTTTTTTTATAAATCGTACGCCTGTCCGTCCGTATGGTGTCTATGAACACAACTAGCGCATAACCCATGCGTAGGAGTTTTTTCCAAATTGAAGAAACCCCTGTCCTTCTGGCCCCTGTCCAAACTTCGAGATTTTGAAAAAAAATCTTAAAAATTTGAGGGTACTTTACATGAAACCCTCCGGACATTTTCAAAATATTCTCAAAAACTGCTCCAACTTTTTTCCTTACATTTCTTCTAAGAATAAGTAACATGCATTTATTCATGCGCCATAGGTCCGATTTTCACGGTTAACTCTGAATTTCCGAAAAATTTAACAGTACGAATTTCTTTAGGTGTCGTCCTACAAATAGAAAATTAGATAGAGATTTTTCCTTCAAATAAAATTTATTCTGCATAGAGAGTCCTTGAAGGCCATGTACACTTTTTTGAAAATTTTAGTAGTCTGCGCAATATTGCCTGCAAAATGTACAATTTTTAAAAATTTTAAGAACAAGATTTTCTCAAAAACGGCTCAAATTGTTTTCTTTAAACTTTTGGCAGGGATAATGCTTAATGCACTCTATAACATGACATATACACCATATTTCTCTATTATTTTGTTTTTTTTTTTAAATATTACAAAAATTAATGTTTTTGACTTGTTTCTCATGTTAATATTTATATTAGCGGCAATTCATTCACATTATTGTTTTTATGAGTACATGTGCTGTAAATAATGTGAGATGAAGTTTCTCGAAAACTCTGCCGTTTTCTGTGACAACTAGCTCAAAATTCCGCATTTTCAGAAACGCTCAAACGCCATTTTCTTAAAAGCAGGTCTAAATTTTTTCGTCAAACATTTCGAACGGATAGTGGTAATTGCACTCTTTAATATGACGTAAAGTTCATTTCAGTTTATTTTTGTATTTGTTCAAAAATTAAGTTTTTCGAAAACTCGACAATTATCTGTGAAGAAGAGCTTCAAATTTCAAATGCACAAGAGCGATCAAACGCCAGCTTTTTAAAAAACTGCTGCAAATTTTTCAAAGAAAATTGTCTTTAAAGTAAGGTCTTACTGTTCTTTATTAATCTTAAAATATTTCCGCTCTACAATTAGGAAACCGAAAAATTAAGAAAATGTCAAAAAATGTACTTTGGGCGGCTATAGATGGCAGCGGGCGAGAATATGTGGCAGGTTGGAATAGCTCCCGATAACAAAGGAAACAGAAAACCAATATTGGAATGTCTGTGTCATTCTGTAGCACACTAGTTTCTTAATGAAATGTGTTTATCATGAACATCTTCATATATGATCACGATGCATTTTTTGAAAATATGTATTATTTTTTGTGTAATTTGGCGATAAACATAGTCGCCTGCTCTTAATTTACTGCGCTTCCTGAACATAATTTCAGAATTGCTTCGAGGCAGTTAGATCCTGCGTAAGTTAGAATTTGAATGTTATTTAATATTTCTTTGTTTCTTGCTTTTGTTATACGTTTTAAAATTTACGTTAAAAACTTTGCATTTTCTTGCTAGTGGTATGCTGATTTGCAAAATGTATATGCCATTATGAATCCAGCAGTTCATTTGACAACACTGTACTGATAACAAAAGGCTGCCGCTGTTTAGCGTAATTATAAATTGTGAATTTAATTTACGGCTTCAATACGCATCGGACTTCGTTGGTTCATTTGAATACACGGAATTCAATGGCAGAAAGCTGTATTCGTTTAAAAGTTAAAAAAATATATGCGTAATTTTTGCGCGTTAACCATTAACAATATTGCGAAAAGGTATGTGCTTTTATTGCCCCACTAACTCCTATAGGTAGTAAATAGGTTAATGATTTAAAACGTCGCCAAAAATGATCAATAAAATGTTTTTAAAATTCTCTGAAAGCAAAGGCAAATGACATTTGATCAAATCCAGATGAACAACTCAAGCTGTAGGTTATGTTACTGATGTAATAAGCTTCCTTTCGTTGAAATGAACTCAGCTTGTATTGCTTTTGTTTGTACTCGTTTGTATTGCAGCTTTGGTTTGTACTGTTCGTTAACAGGAAATCTGGAGTTATCGCGAAATTGGCCAAAACGAGTGGCGTTGATAGGCGTCACAGGAAGCTAAGATTACGTACCTACATCTTAGTACTTAGTACTACATGATATTACAATTTCTGAGCGAAGAAGTCGATTAGGCTACTCAGCAATACTGTGGAGATAATTTGTTGCATCTCGTAAATATTATTTGAAGCAATTATCATTAAAATTAGGGTTACCATACGTCCTCTTTTCCTCCGACATGTCCTCTTTTTGAAGTAAGAAAAAACTGTCCGGGTGGATTTTACAAGAAAGGACGAAATGTCCTCTTTTTTAATTGGAAATGTAGTATTAGTTTCAAATACAACATAGACTTATAGGTGCGAAGGATATTGCGTTTTTTAAATTTTTTCGTGTCCCCGACATCATGACATTTCATTTTTGTATAAATAAATTACATTTAACTTAACTTTTTCACCTAACAAACGCCAAAATCCATGCATGAACTATTATATCTACATGTAGTTATTAATTATTCCATGAAATGCGACAGTGTTCCTATCAGCTGGTGCAACATATAGTATGCTGATGCTGGTTATAGATTCTGTGCTCTGGTTAATACAGTTCATCTCTCATCTGGCCTGTGGAGTTAATCCTGCTTTGGCAAATTTATATTTAGAGCAGGAAGCCAAAAAGAAAAGCCTTGTTTAAAGATGTACTTAAAAAAGTTCAGCGTTTATTGCAAGATTCAAAGCAAAGTTCTAATTCTTGAGAGAAAATTCATCATCCATCAATACTTCTGGTACAAAAAAGGAAAAGACATAACAAGAGATTATGAAATAGGCTATAGTGTGATTGTGAGAGTGATTAAAGAATTTATTTTTTCAGTAGTAAATATTTTGCCTTTAAGAGAAATAAAGTATTATATTAAACAATTTTATGTAAATTGTCCTCATTTTTATATGAAATGTCCTCTTTTTCCCTGTTATGGAATTATGGAAACCCTAAATAAATGATATTTTATAATTGGTAAAATCAAAGAAAAATGCTTCAAAAATGATAGAAAAGGTAAAAAAAACAGTCGAAATCGATGAAAAATGCAAAGTAGGGGTGCTACAGAATGGTATAGAATTTCCCGTATTAGTTTTCTGTTTCCTTTGGTCTCGGCTAGTTATACGAA